AGAGATAGGAAAGAGAAGAAATAAGATGTAGAAGGAAAAGGACACATGCTGGCGGGAGATGGAGGAAGATATAAAGTGACACTTCCCAGGTGATATCCAGAATTTAGCTGGAAGCTGATGGAGGTAACAATGTCATCTGTGTCCTCTCTCTGGCCCGGTCGGTCAGGATATCTCTCAGGATTAGGATGAAGAAGGTGCAATGTCCCATGGGAAGGTAGGGGTGGAAGCCATAATGATAAAGCTCGCTGCAATGGTTGTTGTCAGACAACTGCTTCTTCTACTAATCTTTCCCAGAAGTCTTTTCTTTTTAAGAAGCCAAAAGGAAGTTTGGTGCAGAATAGTCCATCCTTTCATTATTTTATCCACCAATAGAGCGAATTTCCAATACACAAATTTTGTTTCACTGATTTCAAGTCCTCTACTACTCTTGTTTTCTGCTCATAACCTTAACATAGTCCTTGAATGGTATCAGTCAAACCCTTTCTGTTTAAATTAATTCATTCCATGTCCTTCTTACACCTTTTTTAAAACAATTTTATATAAAAGGTCATTGTGACATTTATGAACTTTCACTCACAATTTACAGCTGAGCTTACACTTAGGGATAAATTTGTAGGACCAATTATAACAGCAGCCATATAAAAGAATTCTCACTACTATGTTTCTGCAGTGTTTGACTCACAAGATTGTTCTTAGTGGAAAGCATATTGATACAACAGATGGTTTGAGGTCATAGCTTAATTCTCTCTCTCTCTCTCTCTCTCTCTCTCTCTCTTTCAATTGTCAATGCTTCAGGCTGGCATAGTCAAATGGTCATAGTCTTTCACCTCCTCTTCCTCTGGATGGCCTATCCAAGGAAGAGTGGAGTACTTTGCTTCAGATGTCATTGATGTAACGAGAGAGAGTGAACTGTTCTCTTCCACATGGTTTCAACTTTTAAAGGGGTCAGTGTTTCCTTTACTCTGCCACAGGGGCCACCTTTGTATTTTTCACAGTCTACTTACAGACCAAGAACATGTTGAATGTAGTTCAACGTGGTCCAATCATTTGGCAGTGGGCAATGTCTCTCTTAGATCATTGTCAAAAGTTCTAGTAAGGAATGATCATTTTCTTGACAAATCCACTGAGGTCAACAAAGACAGATATTGTCTTATAAACAGGAAACTTGAAAGACCCACATTGGATAACTTGGTGTAGCGGGGTGGTTACCCCGCTCCTGCCTGGAAGGGCTTAAAACAGCCCTGGCAGAGGGCTGCAGCTCTAAAAGCTGGGCTGATTGGGAAAGTAGCCACAGCTGGGCCATGCCCCAATCAGGCCACAGCTGGCCTGTATAAAAAGGCTGGGAGCCAGGAGCTCAGTAGTCTCTCTCTGCACTTAGAGAGAGAAGAGCCTCTCTCTACCTGAGTGGAGCAGGGCTGGGGAAAGGCTGAGGAGCTGGGGAGCTCCAGCCTGGATAGCCCCAGGCTGCGACCTAGTAGGAGGCCAAGGGGTTCTGGGGGTTGTAGAGGGCAGCCCATGGGTAGGCCAAGGCAGCAGGTCCAAACCCAACCTTGCCTGTGATGAGTGGCCTATACTGCAGTCTGCCCCAGTGAGCGGGGGTTATTTGGTGACTGGCAGTGGCCTTAGTCTGAGGCAAGGTAGGGATAGTGGGTTGGGGTTTCCCAGGGAGGGGAGACCCTAGTACTGAGGGGTACTGCCAGGGGGCAGCACCTCAGATACAAGGGCACCGGGGTCCGGGAGGGACACGGGGGCCAGAGGACAAGCGGATTACTACCCTGCAGGGGGCGCTCCAGGATGCTGGAAGAGCTAATTCCCAGAAGAGACTAGCAGGAGGCGCCGCAGGGGTGAGTCCGCTCATCTACACTTGGTAACAGACTTCTGTCTAAGGCCAATGGACACGAGGCCAAATATAATTAAGGACTGTAACCTGTTCATTCACACTTTTGCCCAGTTACACTTATTAAACCCATGACAATTATTTAGGAAATACATTAGGGAAGTGACTCTGAGGCTCTCAGCCTAGATACAAGATTAGAACTAACCCCAGTGCCCATTTACCTGAAGATATAAAACTGCTTTATAATTTCTTCATTCAGAACTGAACAATTAAATGTTTCCAGGCCTGACATGAAATATGGCCCATGTTCCTTACACCAGTCTGTTGTGTTGTATTGTACCCAACTTTTCGATCCCATGTGCTTCCATGCAGATGGGTCTGTGAAGGGTCCAGATACTATCTCTAGTTATGGCCTTTTAGGCACAATCCCAGGTGCAGACTCTCTGTTTGGCCTCTTTCCATGGGAGGTGGGACTCCACAGTCCAATTGCCCTATCCTCTGAAACCAATGCTGACACTCCTAAGACTTCCCTGCTGTTTATGTACATTCCTTCCTCTCCCCACCTATCGAGTCCCACTTGGCTGTGGTTGCTGTGGTTCATAGTTCTAAGTATTCAGAGACATATGGATCTATGCCAAACAAAGTCCTGAATACAATCCCCCCTCAGAGTCCTCATTGCACCTCAGAGTCCTTTGGGTTTGGTCAGTGTCCTTCAAAAAGTACACTGCCTCCTTCTTGCCTCCATTACTTCATCTGGGACTTCCATTCCTGGTGTCTCCTCTTGGCTTACAGAAGCCCACCTTTTAAAATCCATCTCTCTCCCTCTTTAGTTAGATTGTCCACTGGATAAACTACAGCTCTTCCAGTAATGTGCTCAGTCTATGGAGAATTCCATTCTCCCCAAATAAGTTTCTGTGAAGAGACAGTCTTTTCAAAGAACCAGCTGTCAGAAAATCTATTCTTCAAAAAGTTGAGAGTTATTCAGTGCTAATGACCCCTGGATTGCTTTGCTGCACATTTCCAGTTATAACTCTTCATGGTGTGCCAGGGTCTTGCTACCATATGAAGATTCTAATCCACTGAAAGTTACAATAGTGTTATTCATTAAACAGAAAGGAATTCATAAGTTGACACAGACATATTATCCAAACTGTCACATGCATTCCAATTTACCCTGATCTGAACCTAAGAAAAGATCATATTTAGTAGACTGGTATCTTTGTTTATTTAAATTTTAACTAACTATTGCAAAAAGTTCTCACAAACTGTGTCACCATTTTTCAAACATCTCTAATGTTCATTGCCTCAGGTCATTCCAGGGTTAGATGCCAATGCTGGATCCCTTTCAAAAAGGGGTTCTCCTTTTCCAGTTGGACCCAGGATTACTGTCTACCCTACAAACTCCTCCAATTACAATCTTAAAAGTCTTAACCACAGAATTGACAATAATTCATTTTTATTTAAATCCTCTATAGAAATCATTTTTCCAGGCAATGATCATGGCCAATTCTTCCCCCCACCATAAATGTACATTCCCTTAACTATATTATATCACAGTATTATCAACCCTAACTATTCATGCTTTATGTTCAAGAGTCTTAATAAATTGCCAAGCAATTCACCAATTAGATGCAACTAACAGGCGATTCATATAACTAACTGTATGCTTATTTTACTTTGAAAAAATATATTGATCGAGCATAGAGTTTTTAGTATGAAAGAGTGAATTTCAAAGTTTCCTTCTTTGAGTGAAGTTTGCTCCTGAAAAATTGCCACTTGTATCCTCAGGTAGGAAAAGATGCAAGTACTCAGATTGTGCACTCAGTTGAACTGTGTACACAAACAGTCTCTCAAAAAAAAGGAGGGGGTCCTTTTGAAAATGTGGCCCCTACAACTGTTAGTTCAGTGATTCAAGTAGTTTTCTCTATATCCGACACTCTAACAATTTCATGCTTGTTATTCCATTGCAGCCTTTCACTGCAGGTCAGATGATGACACAGTTACTTATTAAAAGAAAGAAGCTATAGTCATTTTGGGCCAGATTCTAACTAAGCGTTATCACCCAGATAACTGTTCTAGATGCTTGAGGACAGCAAGCTGTAACTGACTGTCTTTTCTCTCACAAATCCATACACAGTCATGCTTCTTGCCTTTCTAGCAATGGTTGGTTTATTTTTCAAACTTAGTCATTAGATCTTACCATGCCAACTTTTTGTTTCCAGATGTTTAGGCAATTATCAGCCAATCAGAAAATCTGCTTGGAGTACCACAGGTCAGAGCAATCCTCTGCTGTTATTAATTCCAGCACAACAATTACACTCACTATAGGGCTGAAATATTCACTGTAGGGTTGGCGGTAAAGATGCCTCCTCTGCTTTCCTCCCATGCATCTGTCCAGTGCTTGCCTTGGCTACTCGGGCTCAGGCTTGGTTTAAGGATTTTCACTGAGGTGGTTATGATAACATATTATTTACAATCTAATGGTCTGTGGTGAATATCAACGCTAAAATACACTACATGATTTAACTCATGACTGAATAGCCACATTTTGTAGATCTCATTCTCACATCTGTTTATGTTGTGTTTTATGAATTAGCTCTTGAAATGTCTGTGTTTTGGTGTCTTTGTATCAGCAACATGAAAGGATCTTCCATTTGCATTTTCACTAGCTCCCCTGTGCCTTTCCCCTGTCATTAGTCTTTTGTATGGAAGATGGAATAAGACTTACAGTCAAATGCTTTCATTTTCTATTCTTTATATTCAGAAGCTTATAAGCAGAAATGTCTATCAACAGTGAAGACCAGAGTTCATTCCTGGCTGAACATATCATGTGAAAGTGAGTTTGGTGGTCTCATCCTGTTTTTTTTTTTTTAATGATATATCCACATCAAACATCTGATACAATGAGCAGTCTCTCCTCAAAAGGATGGCAATGCTGCTGCAGGGAAGGACTGATGTGCATTGGAAGAGCTTGATGCAGAGTGTGCACATAATCTTCATGGAAATCATCAGTGCTTTGCGTACTGTAGCAGTACAGGAGAGATTTCAAATGGAGAACACATGGGAAAATAGAATAATTTTTTTTCACTACCGTGCTTTATAAGGGAAGTGAACATTCTTATCCGAAGGATAGGAATAGATACTATGAATTAACCACTCTGAATCAGCAATTGGCAGAATGCAGAATCCTTGCTGAGGCCAGTTTTAATTTGGGGTTGCCCAGAATCAAGACAATGGAGTGTAGAGAAGGATAGGCAGCAACGATAATTGTACACACTGTAATTCTCAATTCATCACTGACATAGGCTAGGCTTCCAATTGACAATGTTAAAGCCATATAATAAATATTGTAGAGGATGAAAAAGGACACCACAGATTTCAGTGCACGCACATGGGCATCCATAGTGGGGTTCCTGAAACTTGGATTAAGGTCTGAATTAAGGTTCATTTTCCTGATGTGTCTCCAAAGGGATATGATTAACAAAGCAGATGAAGCAATAAATAGAATAATGGGGGAAATAGATCCTATGCCGTGTATCAGAAAAGTGTTGTTGTCTGAAATCGTGACATTTCTTGATAGACAATCTGTGGAGTTGTGGGAGGATATGCAATAGGAATAGCTGAACAATGTAAAAGCAACTGTGGTAACCAAGCAGTACAGCACAGAGCCCAAAAGCAGCCATGGCACCAGTTTGGAGAGTCTCAGTTTTAACCAGTTGAAGAGGGCTTGGTTGACAGAGGCAATCTTCACACAGTAGAACACAGAAAGGCAGCTTGCAAAACAGAGACTCACTTGGTTTATGAACATCCAGGTAACTGTATAAGGGCTTGATGTTTCATTCATATAAAAGAAATCTGGATATAACTTAGATAAGAAATTGTCTGATGACACAACGACTTGTAGGCAAAATCTGGAGAAGGCCAGACTGGTTATTATCTTATCATAGGAAGTCAGTTTTCTGCTTTTGACCCAGTCGATACAATTTAAGGCAACAATATATCCATTTGCAACAACTCCTGCTAATAATTCCATTGCTGAGATGATCAGATAAAAAATAACAGCAGGAGCTAAAGATTTTTTCATCATTAATTCTTAGTTTGTAGCTCACTACTCCTGACTTTTCAGAAGACTTGGTTTAGAAGACTGTTCCTGTCTGGCTCATGGATATACAAAAGTAGTCCTTTTAGTACAGGTTCAAAAGCAGGATGAAAATTGAGTTTCACCTGTTGTTCATATATAGCCAGGCCATTTCATGAAGATTCAAATCTGGCATCTATCCTATTACTACATGTCTAGTTCATGGAAAAGATATTTGCATGTCCCTTCCCAGAATGCCCTGTTAGTGACTAATCAAATTATTATTTAAATGAACTTAAAACATAACCCTTTATTTGAATATGCAATATGCTTTCCAAAATAAGGATTAAGTAGAACCTTAGTGGTACATAGTGAGCTGTGGCAATGCACTAGCTAATATTATATACATATAATAGTTATAGCAATGGTCAATTGAAATCATAGATATTTTTAGATAATTTTCACAAGATATTCAGGCAAATATGCAGAAAGGGGCCTGATTTTATTAACATCTTCAGAATTCCTGCACTGATTTTTTTTTTTTTTTTTTTTGCTTTCAAGCCCATTTGTCACCATTCTTGTAATAAAATAATGACAGATCCCTCAACATAATTTTTTCCAGCAGTACTGATGAGATCCCACTTGGTGTGTTTGCTATGTGCAGATTTAGTAAAAAGGAGATTGATACAACAAAAAGCATGAAAAGAACAGTGGCAAAGAGGGAGAATGCAACCTGCCTTGAAACTTGGAGTTCTAATCTCTGCCCATTTGGTGAGGTAGCAGTGGGGATTAGTCTCCCTTCTGTCTTGGCATGGTTTCCTTTTCCACACATCTAGTACATTCATTGCTCCTGAGGGAAGACCCCAGAGTACAGCCACAATTCCTGACCTGGTTTTTTTTAAAAGAAAGTCTAAAGCCCTTGCAAGCAGAAAAATAGATTAGATGGATCCTCTACTTTAAAAGGAAACAAAGAACCCTCAGACAGCCTATATGAAAAAGCAAACATAACTTTTGATTCCTGTCCTGCATCAGAAGGTGGAAAAATAAGGTGCATTGATCCTTGTCTAGCTCCAGAAAGAACGTAATCAGTATCTTGGAACAGTGGTCAAAATAGACTGAGCAGATTCACTGTACTAGTCAAAGAGGAGTATCGACTTATCCAAACCAAGGGGAGCTAAACTATATCCTTCTCTCCCTTACTTTAACTCCTATTTTAAATCAGTCCTTGAGTCTCTTATGCTCCAGAAGGACAACATAATGAAATATTTAAATTCCTTTTTGTTCCATAAGCAACAACAAAACAACACAAATTATGGGCAAAGCCTTTCCACTCAGAGCAGAACTTGGCTGTTGATCTACTCCCAGCTGTTGTCTTCCTCTCTCTTAAACTGCTTCAGGTTTTATTTTAAGGAAATTAAGGAGTCCTGGCTGATTTTGAACTATTTCTTACCCCTTGCCTCCCCAGATACTCCAGGCATTAGCAAACTCTCACCCTTCACCTCCAATTGATTATTGGGGAACACTTCCTGTCAACATGCTCACGGTCAGAAATACCTCAGCATGCATTATCATTATGGTTCTTCTTTATTTAGTGTAATTTTAAAAATTAAGATATTGCCACTTGCTGTTTTAATCCCAAATAAGTGTTGGAATTCATCTAATTGAAAGGTATCCCAGGAGAGATTAACAAATCTACTTAGTTGCAGGGCGGTGAAAGACACATAAACAAACTCTTAAAACTTACAAAGATTTGGGTTTTAGTCAAGATTTGGGTGGCTGCTTGAGCCAGTTCTCCTTCTCCTGGACTAGTTGATTTGTCCATCACTAATGACAACTAATATATTTGGTTGGAAAGAATTCTAGTATGGTATTGGCTTTAAGATAAATTGCATCAGCCAAAGAAAGACATTCAATCATCAAGCATTTCTTGTAGCTAAGTGTTAGTTAAAAATAAAAGTTATGTGTCAAGGCCTGGACTATATTGAGCACTGAATTCAAGGGGAAGGCTGTTCTATTCTAATAGGCGGGATTCATTTCATTATAAGACCCTGTTACCAGTTGCATATAACTTTACCAAATTCTAACTTTTCAGGATGAAATGTTCCATTGCTGGTGTCTACCCATAGAAAGGTCCAGTCATTTCCAAGAACAAGGGAAGGCAAATAGAAATTGCTGTGCCCATATTAAAAAGTTGTGGCAACCTTTTCTTTGAAAACTCTAGTACCACCTTGCTTTAAAGCAGGGACTTGAAATTTGACAGGGATCTGAATTGTCATGGAGATGGCAAGGACCATGAATTGAGATTCTATGGGAAACCATCATAGAGAACAGAAGACAGGACTGGTGTGCTCCTAGCAGTTTGTGTTGCTGAGGAGACATTCTACAGTTGCAGGTACTCAACACCTTTTGGGATTTAGCTATAGACTTATTGAACAGATCTCATAAGGAAACTTCATAGAAATGATAGACTCATAGATTTTAAGGCCAGAAGAGACCATCGTGATCATCTAGTTTGATATCCTGCACATTGCCACCCACAGAACCTCAACCACACACTTCTGAAAAAGACCCATAACCTCCTTGCTGAGTTACTGATGTCCTCTAACCTTGTTTTAAATACTTCAAGTTACAGAGAATCCACCATTCATTCTGTGCCCTATGATTCAGAGAAGGGAAAAAATCCAAAACAACAGGATCCTTGCCAATCTGACTGGGAGAAAATACCTTCCCAACCCCAAACATAGTGATCAGTTAGACCCTGATTATGTGGGTGAGAAAGAATTCTCGGTAATAACTCAGAGCCCTCTCCATCTAATGCCTAGCACCAGCTGTTGGAGATATCTGCTAATAGCAGTTGTGGATGTCATTGTAGGAAACATCATCAAACCATCTTCTCTATAAATTTATCAAGCTCAGTCTTGAAACAAGTTAGCTTTTTTCACCCACTACTCTTCCTGGAACTTTGTTCCAGAACTTCACTTCTTTGATGGTTAGAAAGGTTCCTCTAATTTCAAGCCTAAAGTTGTTTATGTCCCATTTATAACCATTTGCTCTTGTACCATCATGAGCCCTTAACTTAAATTTCTCCTTTCCCTCCCTCTGATGTATCTGTAGAAATCAATCATATCTCCCCTCACCCTTCATTTGGTTAGGATAAACTAGCCAAGGTCCTTAAGTCTCCTCTCGTAAGGTAGGTTCTCTGTGCCTCTGATTATCCTAGTAACCCTTCTCTGAACTTGTTCCAGTTTGAATTAATCTTTCTTAAACATAGGAGACGATAACTTCATATAGTATTCCAGTAATGAGGTCTCACCAGTACCTTTTGTACAATTGTAATAGAACTTCCCAGTCTCAACTGGAAATACCTCACCTAATGCATTTTAGGATTGCATTAACCTTTTTCGTGGCCACATCACAGTGGCAGCTCATAGTCATCCTATGATTCACCACTACACCCACGTCTTTCTCCTTCTCTATCACTTCCAACTGGTAAATCCCCAGATTACAGGAAAGTATCCTGTTGTTAGTCCCTAAATTAATGACCTTGCACATAGCACTATTAAATTTCATCCCATTTCTATTATTCCAGTTTTTAAGGTCATCCAAATCTTCTTGTATGATATTCCAGTCCCCCTCCATATTGGCAATAGCTCCCTACTTTTTGTCACCTGCAAATTTTGTTAGCACATTCCTACTTTTTGTGCCAATGCCATTAATGAAAATGTTAAATAATATTGGTCCCAAGACCGATTCTTGAGGAATTCTGCTAATAGCCTCCAGACTGATCTTTCAGAATGACCTATTATAGTTTCCCATTGAAACAGTTCCTTACCCACTTTTCAATGCTCATCTTCTCCACTTCAATTTATAATTTCCCTTGTGGAACTGTATCAAATGCTTTACTGAAAAATGGGTAGATTAAATCTTCTTCATTTCCTTTGTCTAGAAAATCAGTTACCTTCTCAAAGAAAGAGATCTGGCATGATCTATCTTTTTTGTACAACCATGTTGCATTTTATCCCAGTTACCATTTCCCTCTGTCTTTAATTACTCTCTTTCAAAATTTGTTCCAGCAGGCCTGTAGTTTCCTGGATTACTCCTCTCTCCCTCCCCCACACACCTTTTCTTAAATATAGGTAATATATTTGCAATTCTCCAGTCTTAGTATATGACCCCTACGTTTACAGATGCATTAATAATTTTTGCTATACGCCTTGCAATTTCAAGTTCCAGTTCCCTTAATATTCTTGGATGGAGATTATCTGGGCCCCTCAATTAAGCTGTTTGAACTTGGTTTCTACCTCAGAGGTGGTAAGTTCTACTTCCATATCATTGTTCCCATTAGTCACTCTGCCACTGCTCCAAGCTCCTCATTACCCTTATTAGAAACTAAGGGGAAGTATTCATTTAGATGTTGGGCCATGCCTAGTTTACCTTTAATTTCTACACTTTCATCTGTACTTAATGATCTCACTTCTTCTTTCCTTTTTTTGTTTTTATTTATATGGCTAAAGAATGTTTTACAATTGGTTATAATTTCCTTTGCAAGGTCCAAATGTGATTGGCTTTTGGCAGTTCTCACTTTTCCCCTATACTTTCTGCCCTCCAAGGGGCAGCTTTCCTTAAGGATCCAATCCCTTCTTCTATTCCTGTCTGTGATCTACTGAGTTTTGTTTTATTTGCAGCAGTGTAAATCCTGAGTGAATGAAGAACTACTCTTGAATTTTTTAAAGAATATAGGAATTTGTTCTTGATGTCACTAAACAGCTTCCCTCCTCCCCCATGAAACAGAAGATCTTTGACAGTATTCTGGTCTTAGAGGATTCCAGAGTATTGCAACAAGGATACATAGCACACTCTATTGCTGTTGCCATTGAATGGGATAGTGTATCCAACAAGGCTTGCAATCAAGCCTAATCAATAAGCTGACCCTCTGTAAAAATGGCCTGGAATTG